AGACGTACGAGGTTGGGGTTGGGCGTGCCTACGTAGGTGTACAGCGACATTTCGGGCCTGGCTGTTTAGCCAACAGGAAGCAAGGCGTCGGCTTGGAGCACTTGACGGAGGATTCGTTATGCAAGTAGAGACTGAAAGTAAGTACTGAAAAGCGACTGGCAGTGTGATGAATCAAGGCAGAGGATTCCCAGGTGGAAGCTTCGAGAACGTGCGTGTCCGTTGCCCACGGCGTGTAGCAATAAGCCGTAAGACTTTAAGACCTTGTGAGCACTGAGCTAGATGGAGGTGTCTGGGAGAGCAAGTAGGTTTGAATCGCCGACGCCGGGACCACACCTTCCGCAGATAAGATAAGATAAAACCCGGTCCCGCGATTTACATAAGCGATACCCACAAGTAGGTCAGAGCCGTGGCTGGTGCGTTATGCCTACCACGGTGTGCACAGCGAAGGCGTCTTGCAAGAAATTGCCAGGCTTGCTCGAGCTCACAGACACCCACCTCCAATGGACCCAGGATGGGAAGAAGGCGCCGGCGATACGCGTCGCCCACTCCGAGGCTGCGTGTTAGTCCAAATCCTTTCTTTCTCTTTCTTTCACCCTCACCCTCTTTCTTTCGCCCTCTTGCCTTGTCTTGTCTTCAATGAGTAGTAACTCACGCGTATTATCCGTATACACAGCACTCTTCTGCAGCAAAGAGGGCGCAGCACAGGTCCGACTGAAAGTATCCCTCATCGGCGACGAGAATGGCCACAACTTCACCTTCACGTCCTCGCCACAACCCATCGCCGTCGCCGAGCGCGAAAAGTTCAAGCAGGAGCTCACCGCCATTATTGGTCGTAACAGGAGCAGCGCGTCCGCCGTGGCTGAGGCACGCTCGAAGCTCCTCGTCCCGCCACCGATCAACGTTGCTGCCAACCTCCCCGTGTCCGCTGTGTCTGCTGTGTCGACCCCCACTACCGTAGTGAAGCCACGACCGACAGCCCCACCTGCCCGCCCGTCCGTCTCTCGAGCCGCCTCGGTCGTCAGCGAGCGAAGAGCGACGCCGATTATCGCAGGAGATGACCCCACGTCTGATTTCCGGTTAAGAAAGCAGGTGCTCATGAGCAACCCGGAGCTGGGTGCGCTGCACAGGGACTTGGTCATGACGGGGCAGATAACGGAAGCAGAGTTTTGGGATGGTCGAGAGGTGCGCAAACACGTCTTGCGTGAAGTGCACTATGTTCTTTTCTGACTCGAATGCAGCACCTTATACTGGCACAAGCTGCTGCCGAAGGCCAGAAGAAGGGCAAACCGGGCCAGTTGGTCGATCCAAGACCTGAAGCCGTTGAAGGAGGGGAGATCAAGATTCGCATTACGCCACAGCTCGTGCACGACATCTTCGACGAGTACCCGGTCGTAGCGAGGGCGTATAGCGAGAACGTGCCCAATAAAGTGCGCTATTCATCCATTCCTCCAGGCTCTCTATCAGTGTTAAACAATTCGAACCAAGCTCTCGGAGGAGCAGTTCTGGAAACGGTACTTCCAGTCCAAGCTGTTCAACGTACACCGGGCGTCCATACGTTCATCTGCGACCCAGCACGTTGTCAAAGAAGATCCCATCTTCGACAAGTATCTGGAAAAAGACGACGACGGCGAGTGCTTCTGCTTTATTCACCTCGAATGGCATGTAACCTTTGCGGCAGAATTGGAGCCCAGGCGTCCGCGCAACGAGCATGTGGAAGTCTTCGTGGACCTCGCTGCTACCCTAGAAGACCACGAGGAGGTTCGTCCCTGACTGGCTCACCGACGTCAATGGCTTATTGAGCCAAAATTCAGACGGGAAATGAGAAAGATGTTACCATGCAGGCTGGAAGACAAAAGGCTGCTCTGCCACTCATCAGAAAATTCAACGAGCACTCTGAGAGGTTGCTCAACTCGGCCCTGTAAGCTGGTACATGCCCATGGGCTGATCTTTGTTTTGAAAGCACTCTTTCAGAGGCGAAGTCTCTCCAGCGAAGCGGAGACGATTAGATCACGGAGAGGTCCAGTTGAACGCGTCTGCTTGGATTTTTGTGTATACTGAGCCCTCGACAGGATGCCTATTCACAAATCGATCTTGAAGACCTGCACGATGCTGAGGCGTCTAACGGAATCGTTCTTGAAATGCAAGATAGACAGCGCTATTTCGAGGCTAGGATGTCGAGTGGAGCTGGAGAGTCCTCCCAACCGGTATGTTCTGGTTTTCGCAGCAGAAAAGGCACCGTATTCATCCTGTTCTTTAGAAGTTGGACCCCATGGCTGTGCTGCAGGAGACGAAGGCGAATCTCCAGAACTGGGAGACTCGACTGACACAGGTACGTCTCGCTTTCCTGAGTTGTCGAACCAACTTTGAATCATTTTGTTAGCTTAAAATCGACCGAAAATCTGGAGACAATGCCCTGTTAGGTATGACTAAAGATGTAGCGAACCGGCTTGACGGGCGAGTCAAGAAAAGTAATCATCTCACCTTCCGTGCATTCGAAACCTGTTGACGTTCTTTCAGACGATATACCAGACGGTCTACTTAGACAAATGACCAGTTGCCAGACAGCGGCCAACGAGTTCCTGCGACAGTTCTGGCTGGCGACATATCCATCGCCGGGAGAACTGCCTACTGTTGCCACACCTGCTCAAAGAGCCGCCAAAGCAGCGAAAATGATAGGATTTATCTCTAAAACACACGAAAAGGTTCAAGCATTGGTGCAAACCGCGCAGCAGCACGGTATTGACCCGAATCGCGTTCAGACTGTAAGTTCTGGTCAAGGGAAAGTAGCGGTTCCATGCTCAAATCTAGCGTCGCTGTCTAGGCTCTCAAGCCAGTCCTTCAAGCCTCCGACCACGCACTGACCTTCTACCGGAATAAAAAGCCACCTAAATTGTAGCCTAATCTTGACAATACCCCCCACCCAGCATCATCCGCATCAACATCCATTACTGTATACATCTTTAAGAGAAAATCATGTAGTCTACATAATAAGTTAATAATATCCTGGTAGAAAGTGTACCTGCGACGTCCTATGAACCGTAGGGATTGGGCTGCTTTTCCAGCGTCGCTCCAGCAGAATTTGTGCATTCGTAAGTCGTGAATAGCACATAAACATGGAGGGCTAATGCATAGCAAATGAAGAACGCCCGCGCCCGACGGTTCCCAAGTACTGATCGGGTGAGAGAGAGGACACCACGTTCGACAGGGTTGAGAGCCTGGTATGCTCTTGTCGTTTCCTACAGAGCATAACAGTCAGCTAGACATCGGTTTAAGGCAAGCAAGTCACGCACCCTCCCTCGGAAAGCTTCGAAGGGGTTTATTGATTCCTCATACCGCGTCTGATATTTGGTCATATCATCGAGGCGTCCAGAAGGCGGTGGCAGAGGATCCAGTTGTGTCACTGGACGAGAACCAGAATCTTCACGGTAGCTCTGCATATACCTGACTTTTTCATACAGCTTGAGGTTGTCGGCCTGCAGGGTTTTGATTTCTCCACGTAGTTCAGAAATGATCTGGAATTGTTTTCTTAATTCCTAGGCGAGGTGCTCAGCCTCAGAAACTTGGAAGAGATTGAACGAAAATACCTCTTCTAGTTCTGCGTTTCGTTGTCTGAAACGGTCTCGTTGGCTTGTGACGATGGGTAGGATCGATGTATCTGCAGAGGATGTGAATGGTATTGGCGTTGAACGGACGGGTGTTTCCTGGAGAGAAGTCAATCAGTAAGAGAAATCTGGTTTAGTAACTGAATGCATCATACCGCGTTCTTCCCAATGTCCAAGGAGGCAAGGACATCGTCGTCGGTATCTTGAGTTGGCCCGTTGCTGCTTTCATTGTTGATAAGCACCAAGTCATTTTCCAGCTTTTCATTTAAATCCCGTTGCTTCTCCAACTCGACATTGGCAGTATCGAGCTTCTCTTGCGAGTTTCTCAGGTGATCTTCGAGCTCGCTACGCAAGTTCTATGGGGACGTCAGTGTGCTGCTGTCGAATGAACAGGGCGTGATGCATACACGAAGTTTCGTCAATTCATCTTGGAGGCGTTTGTTCTTGGTGGCAAGGAGAGTCTCCAAGGACTTCCCTTGTCTCCCGTTGACCTTATCAGGATTTGGGCTCGGAAGGGCTAGTCCAGGGTCATAGCCGTTCAAGGTGTCGGCATCCTCGTCATTGGCGTCGAATCCAGAAAATTCAACGAACTTAGGTTATAGCATGAGGTGCTGTCAATATACGGAAAAAAGAATGTAGGATACCTTCATAATCTCGAGTTCTCGTTTGATTTCGTCGTAGTCGCTTAGTTGCTTCAGCTTCGTGCGTAGTTGCTCTGTTTCAGAAGACTGGGATATAGACAACGTCAATATGTTACCAACAATGGATGAGATGACGTTGCAACCTTCTTCAGCAGTTCCTTCGACAATTCCTCGGCCTTCTTCTGACCAGCGAGCTCGGTTTCGGACGTTCGCTGTTTTTGCACATCCAACGAATGAGACAGAGCTTCCGTCTCACCTTCAAGGTCTGCAATCTGCTTTTCGAGAGCCTGAACTCTGTGGTGGTGCTCGTTATCAACATGTTTACGACCCTCTGACGTTCACTGACCGTTCTGAACTTTCGGCACCTCCACGCATCGTCTCGATTTCTGCACGCAGGATTTCCTAAAGAACGTTGGCATTTGGCTGGAAAGCAGCAGGAAATGAACAGTACATTGCGATGCTCAAGCGCCACAATGCGTGTGTTGGCACGTTCCAGGTCAGCAATAATCATATCAGCTTCCGCTAATTTGGCGACAACCTCTTGGTCTAGCAATAATGCATTAGGAAACCGAAAAGCATGGCCTTGATGTATCTTACCTTGTTTTTGACTGTGGTCAAACAATTTGGCTTGGTTGCTTTCGTTCGAGACGCGTAAATCCCGCAACTGATTCTTTGTGAGGGATACCTGGCGCTGTAGATCTTGTTCCCTGGGGCGTGACATTATGAAGAAGGTTGATGCGTGAAGCACTAATATTCATACCGGTCCTCATAGTTTCTCAGCTTCTCGTCATATGTAGCCGTGAGTTCATTCGCCTTCTGCGAGACCTTCTCTTGTATAAGGGCGTCCATCTTGTGAAACGATGTCAATTACATAGGAAGGAATAATAAGAGCGACAGACCTTCTGCTCCATCTGTTCAACCTTGACCTCCAGCTTCTTCTTCGCGTTTTCCACCGCTGAAAAGTCGTTTATGCGTTTTTTGAGCTCAGTGTTTTCCTCCTTTAGCCGTTGCATCTCTGCTTCATTTTCTATGGCCTCCGTGACTTTGACAGCTTGGTCCTGTAGGGGGGATATGTTCATATATTATTCGGACTTGAATAGGGTATATGTGCTCACAACCGCGGCTTCAAGCAGCGGATAAGGGTCAGGAGCCTCGGCCAGGAGTTTGTACACATGGAGGAAGGCATTGTCAGAGGTTTTGGACCTTTTGGTCAGGCTGTCGATTTCCGTTTGGTATGCTGCGCGCATGATGTCAGAAGTTTAGAACTATGGTTCTATGGGTAGAGAGAGTACCTTTGAGAAGGCCCTTAAAAGCATTCAATTTCTCGTCGTCTGGAATCTTCTTAAAGTCTGACATGACAGAATGTTCAGCGCTGAATTGCATGGTACTACGCTGGTGCGCACCTTTTGTCTTCTCCGCCAGAGCCTTGCGTCCAACAACACTTTCCTTCTGATTATCTACCAGTTCAATCCCCTGCGTATCCAATGTCTTCTGCAGCTCAGTCAAATTAATGTCTGTCCCCAAGTCAGCATACGGTGGAGGGAGCCAAAGCCATTGAAGGTACCTTTCCATGTAGCCAGAGCGGCAGAGAAGTTCGTTTCCACCGACGCCATGTCCCACACAGATTAAGAGGAAAACAGTACGCTGAGACGACTGAGAATGTGAGACCGTGTCAACGGGGTATAAGGTTGAGAGGCTGCAGCCCGAGCCGACCATGACAGTCGCGTCCCGGAGTTGCCACGTGATGCCGCGACTTTCACCAAAATGAGAGGCGAAGTTGTCCTTAACCTCCGTCATGAACATCCTGCGGCCCACCTCGTTCCGCCAGGCGACGCGCCTGTGCTCGAGCCGCATATACATCTCTAGCCGCTCGTTCGCTTCGACAACGTTCCGCCTTCAAGAACCAAGAACGGACAGAGAGAAGGTTCTCCCAATACCCGAATCTCCGAGTTTCTACACCACTCGTGCGGTGTATTACGACCAAACAATGCACCTGGAGAAGGCCATCTCTCGGTCGGAAACATTCCTGCGGCAAAACTACCTTCTTCCTCTTCCTGACTTCGCCAAAGCTAGTCTCCCTCCTCTGCATCCGATGTGGAAAGACAAAAGCGAGATGGCGACTACGTTCAAAACCAAAATGACGACGACTCGTTACCGAAAAGTCACGAAGCTCCTCAACCAGCTACTAGACTTCAAGCGGATAGCCTCCGTTGGAGGTTGCCCAGAACTCGCTGAAAAGCTCGACAACATTCTCGCCATGTACGAGAGCAGCAAGAAGGAAGCTCTCCTCGCACGAGGAAAGAGAAAGCCCGTCGTTCTGGACGAGTACGGTCGGTCATACACGTTAGGAAAGCGGAAGACGGCCTCTGCTCGCGTCTGGATTATCCCCGTGAAGCAAGTCCCAGTGGAAACACCAGAAGCCATGCTAGGGCTTGAGCATAAAGAATACCCAATGACCACCTCCGAGATCATCGTCAACAATCTCCCTTTGAACGAGTTCTTCACAATACCCGCTGATAGGGAGCGAATAACTCGACCACTTAAAGTTGCAGGGACCCTCGGCAAATACAATGTATTTGCCATCGTACGCGGCGGTGGAACTTCAGGACAGTCCGGCGCACTTGCTCATGGTATTGCGAAGGGTATTGTGGCTCACGAACCAGAACTGGAGACGATGTTCAGGCGAGGTACGATCGTCGACTTCCTGTTGTGTGTCAACATACTCATTTCTGCTGTTCAGCTAAACTCACCCGACGCGACCCTCGTATGGTGGAGCGGAAGAAGACGGGTCTAGCGAAGGCACGCAAAAGAGTGAGTTCTACTTTGCTCAATTTGCTGACCTTCATTTCTTACATGATTTTGTCAGTATACCTGGGTCAAGCGTTAATCTATACTGTATTGCCTCAATCAATCAAACTTGCGCATATTATCCCATTTTCTACTTGTTATATTAAGACTATAAAGTGAGATGAGAACAGAGGTATAAGTATATGTGTAGATGAATGAATGGTGGAACACCGTCTGCGGGATAACATACTTAATAACGCATCTAAGATGCGGATACAATACAGTGTCGGTGATGATGGTATAAACAGTAGCGGAGTCATCCTTGGAAGTAGAAAGGATGCACATCCTGAGTCCCAAATGGATTGTTACAATACGGACACTTGCGCTGTCGTGTGGCTATTCGAGCGTCCACACATGGCTTACAAAATGCTGAACTGACTTTAGCGTTGCGGGTGAAGATATCAACGGAGGACCTTACTGTGCATGCATTTCGTGATTATGGTCGTACGAGGTCCTGCATTGCATGTTGAGCAAGTAACAAGCCTCTGGAAGATCCAAGTAAGTTGAAGAAGATGTGACCCAATCTTGTACCTACCGCTGCGTTCTCGATCTCTGTGTTAAGATAATTTGATTTGGAGCGATTTGATGAAGAGGCTTCCAATTTTCTTTCTTTCTTCAGCTGGGCAACCTGCTTCTCGAGGGCAGTTCGGGACCGAATGAAATCATCTTCTTTTGCTCGAAGTTCTGCCCCCTTAGAACGGAGCTCGCTTTCCCGTTCATTCCATATTGAAGACATCTAGGAATCCAGATTGAGCGACAGCACCAGTGAAAGGGTCGTAAGACATACCTCATACACGTGTTTGCGTTCGCTCTCAAGAAGGATCCGCAATTCAGGCGATTCCTTTTCTAAGATTATGTTCCTTTCCTTGATGAGATCTAATCCCTTTCTCAAGGCCGAGCATTCCTTCTCCAAGACGCCCTGGACGAAAGTCAGGTCCAACGGTAAATAATATAATATAGACGGCAGAAGTGGATTTACCACTTGATTGCGCAGCTGCTTCTCTACGTCCGTCAACCGATCGACCACCTTCGACTGCTTTTCAACAGTTCTCTGAAGATTCTTCCGTTCGGAATCTATCGCTTCCTTCTCTCGCATGGCAGCATAATATTTGTTCTCCGACTTAGCTTTCTATATGCGAACGGCCGTTTCAATATTATGATCTAGGGAGCCATATAACAGCTCACCTCGTGTTGTCCCTTGGTCAAGCGTTCTTCCAAGCTGCTCAAATCAAATACTTTGCTCTTCAACTGTCGATCCAGAGATTCCCATAGAGCAGATAATTTCTCCAATTCGCTGAATAAAGATGCTTCATTCTACCAAGAGGGACGTGAGTGGCGCTCCAGCCAACGACAAGTCGTGATGTACCTCCTCGCGCTGTCTTTCTTGTAACCGCAGTTTCACGAGCTCAGCTTCTTTTATTCGAAGCTGTTCCACCAGCCGAGCAACGTCTGGAGGATGGGTTGCAGAACTCCCGAACACTCGCTCATATTCATGTAGTCGGGATTTGATCTCTTTGAGTTGTTCTCGAGATTCGACCTCGACGAATATGGAATCCCCATGCTCAGGATGTCCATTCTGGAATATCACCAGGGTTTGCTCGAGCGCGGCCGCCTTGTTTTCTGCCCGGCTAAGAGGGATTGCACGAGATGTTAACAAGAAGTGAGAAACACAACGCACGTTTTTTGGCTCTTCAACTCTTCATAGAACTTGGAATCTTCAAAATGTCCCGTCAAGAAAAAGGCCATCAAGTCCTCGTCGCCGGCATTTGCGGCGAGTTGCGCCTTGCACCGACTCAGCTCGGATTGCAGGATATCGATGCGCTCCTGAAGATAGGGAGTCAGAAATTTGAAAAGAAAATGCGCTACTATACACACCATGTTGCTTTCGCAGAGTGACTTATATTCCTGCAGAGATGCAAACTTGACCTGGTCCTTGTGCCTTCTTTCCACGAGTTCGGCGTGTTGCTGGTCGCGTTGTTCTCGTAGTCTTGTGTTGTCAGCATCCCTTTTCGCCAGCATGTTCTTAAGTTCTTGTATCGTTTGATTGGAGGACATCTAGAATGATGGATCGAACAGAAATTCGGAATAAAGGTCCAAGAGATAGGTTACCGTGGCATGCTCTTCCCACTCAATACGTAGTCTTTGTACGTCGTTCAATTCCTCTGTAAGTCGGGTAATTTGTCCGTTCTTGTCGTTAAGTGAATGTTCAAGATAAGACGCGTGAACCTGTAGGACTTTGTAGTGTTCGTTCTCCTGAGCCGTCTGCTCCAGTGAAGGCGCTTTATGCTACTTAAATTCAGAACACACACTGCGATACCAGTTTTTAGAAATACTCGCCTCCAATTCAATCATTGTCTTTTGGTCTCTCAGTAAAGCTGCCTCCTTCTCGAGATCCATAATCTTCGCGTCTCTGGTTCTGAGCTGCTCGTTCAACACTTCCACTTCAGATGGGTCATGGAACCCGTTGCTTTGTGTGTGAGGGCTGGCCGCAGCTGGTGTTCGCTGCATGAAAATTAGAAGGAAGCAAAAAGCGCATGGTCAAATCTCCCACCAGTTAAGCCAATAACCGAACCACTCACTAGAGGAGAGGACGGCTTTCCATGCACTTCCTCTTTCCCGTCCTTCCCAGCATCCCTATCCTTGCGGCTTCCCTTCGCTTCGACTTCTCGGACACTTGCACTTTGGGACCGTTCCCAACGATTCTCAGCCGCAATGAGGGCGTCGTGATAGGTCGCATTCTGTGATTTCGATTCTTCCAGTTTCGCTCGCAAGAGACTAATCTCTGATTGAAGAACGAAACACTGACAGAAGTTAGAATGGAGAATTAAAGAGAAGCTATAATAAGTACTTCGTTCTGAGCCTGCTGGCACTGGGGAAATACCTCGCTTTGCAAGATACTTGAATGCCTATCCCCTCCCAGTTGAACAAATTTCGTAACGAGAGCCTGAGTTGCATTAACTGTGTCGCCTAGTGCTGTGCTCAGCTCTGTATTAGACTCATTTTGTATGTGGGCCGTCAAGTCGAATATCTCTGAGGACAGTTCGGCTTGAGAACGGATAAAAAGAACATAGGAAGAAGCGTAGAAAGCACCTTTGGCACGTATGCTTGCTTCTGGAATATCGTCGGTCTTGACTAACAATCGGATTGTTTCTACAAGCTACGCAGATCCAACAGCGGTCAGTACCAACTTGTTCTAATGTTGTATCAGTGAATGAGACGAACCTGTGCCCAACAAGCTGCTATTGCTGCCAATCCAGCCTCACAAGTGGTTTTCCGTCGCTCCAGTTCTCGTATACGAGCTAAACTTCTTTCATGCTCCCTTGAATAATACTTCATCCGGCGATAAATAGCTTCCTTGCGATATGACTATCAAGCCAGCTCGTCAGCATGAGTGGGAGCCATGAGAAAGAGAGATGTTAGTGCCTCAAGCCTCTCTCCAAATGCCTGGTCTTCTTCGTCTAAGAGATCATTTACATGCGGACTACCATTGGTCCCTGTCACTATGCGCTTTTTGGAGACTACAGTGTCATCTTCATCAGCCAGAGGGCGCTTCCTAGATTCCATAGGGCGGCAGTCGGAGAACAGAACAGCAATGGTGGTCGTTGAAGGAGAATGACCCAACAATGAGTGAATGTTTCTAAACTCCGGCTGGCGGGTTACCAAATTTGTGATTCAGTCCTCCCACGTGTTGTTCGTTGAATGGGCCAACGCCCAACTATCCACACATCGCTATGCATTTCTCTCTTCTAATTCTTCTCCAGCAATAATGCCAATCGCCACTGCTCCTGCCCTTCTCATCGGTGTTGGAGCGCGCATTCTCCTCGACCAATTTAACCGCTCGGACGGCCCGTTCGTTAAAGATTTTGTACTTGTAGGTGTTTGGCAAGGCGTTGCCCTGCATTATGCAACCAAAACGTCTGGCACCTCTGGGTTCGGCATTCTCGTGGCCTTTGGAATCGCAGCAAAGCTCTTTATTGAGTTTAACGTGAATTCCGATGTAACGAGATGCGTGACGACCATCTTGGGTGTCGCCTTGGGTGTCGTCTTCACCGATTTCCTCTCCCAATACTTCGATAAACCGCCACAATCTAGCCGACGGCGCAAGAAATCATCGCAACCCCCAACGCCCGTGAAGCGCGAGAAAAGACGCGAACGATTGACTCAAGTCCGTCCGAGTGCGCATGGAGGGATCACGGACAACTTTCACGACTTAACGGAGGTCGGCACGTCGTTGGCGGCTACTTCCCTTTTCATTTCGGATATCACTTCTGTCGACTCGAATTCCGACAAACTTGGGCCCACCTCCAGCATGTCACCTCCAGAACGCGAAATCCATGTGTTGAGAACTCGGGCCGCTCTGGCAGACAGCGAACGTCGTCGGTGCAAGGAAGAGAGGAAATGGGCGGTATCGCAGGGGAATGTCGCTCGAGCACAGCAAATGAAGTGGGAAGTCAAGCGTTATACAGATTTGATGAACACCTTCAATCAGGAGGCAGACATGAAGGCCTTCGCATTGGAAGGTGTGTCCAAGTTCTTCGTAATCAAAATGTTGTTTCTTTACTGACAGCGCTTCCAGCGGCAAACGGCAAAAGTCGAACAAGATATTGGTCCACTAATGCTGAAGAACAAAAATCTATGTCGCCGAGCTCTAAGGAGAAATCACCCAAATCATCTCGCGAGCAACCTGTCACCGTTTCGAACGCCCTGCAGTCAAATGAACGGGTCACGACAAAACGACAACCTCGGTACGCGCACGGGTAACGGTGAGTTGTGTGTGCTACAACCTTGTTCATTGCTCAAAATCAAACCAAGGCCTAAAATAGTTCACCCAACTATCATCCTCGTGCCCATTCGCAACATCCTAACGGACACTAGCTGCAGAGCTGCGCATAAGATCCGCGCTACTATGTGCAAGTCAGGCCAGGCCGACTACCTGCTCATACACGGACCTGATACCACCATACCATATGGATACTCAATGGAAGTATATCGACCATTGGACATTGGCTTGATCGCTCAGATACCTTCGAGCACGATGTCAGGGCTGTAATACATATTTGTTGCAATTAAATGAGTGTAGCGCAAGAGGAATACAGTTTTCAACATGTAAACGAGCAAGAGATAGGAGTGACAGTATACGCGACAACAAAAAAGAGAAAAGAGAGTAATAACGACGAAGTATAATGAATCAAGAAAACCGCGGTCCACACCAGCGTCATCGATGCGACTTGCCGTTCGTTCTAATAGATGATGATGATGGCACTGAGGATGAGCCGTTGGCTTTCACTCCTCCAAGAAGTCGCTGCTTTTTTGCGGCATTTGGATCAACCTGCTGTCTTGGTGCAGCCTCCTTCATGACCATCTTCGCATGAATCTCCTCCAACTTGCTGGCTTTCACCTTCTTCGGCCAGAAGAGCGTGACAAATCTAACGCAGAATAAGCATCACGGAAGGGAGAGAGATTCGGACAACTTACGTCCACAGGTGTCTTCGCCACCGATCGCGATCCTCTCCAGCAGCCTCCTTCGCGTTCAAAACCAGCTCTATACGGCGTCCGATTGCAGCCAGGGAGTCTTTCAGGATCGCAACTTTATCATCTCGGGGCATGTCCTCGCCAGACAGCTTCAGTTGTTTCTGCGTTGCGAAAAGATTTGTCAATCATGGCACACAGGACGTGAGAAGGGGAAACGCACCAGTTGCTTCTTGACAGGTCGCAGCTCCTCCTTCGTCGCAGCTTCATCCATGGAAGGACTATACCAGCAACTATGAGCGCAAGGATAAACTTGAAGAAAAGACAACACACCATTCATCCGACGACTCTGAATCCGTAAACGTTGGTGTTGGCCTGCGCTTCCGTTTTCTCGAACTCCCATCATCTATCGACGCCATTGCCTCGCTCTCTGCACGTCGCTTCAAACTGCTGGCATGTGACGATGTCGAGGCCATGGCTGTGGGAGGTGGAGAAGTAGACACCTTCAGCTGACCCTTATGTCTCAACGAACTTTCATACGAACGTAGCTTCTCGTCATGCTCTTGCAAGATGCTCAACAGGAAATCACCCCGCCGCACGAGGTGGATAGCGTTCGGGATGGGCCTGCTTGCTGCATCTTCACCCTTCTTGCCCTCTTCCAGGAAAAACTTGCCCTCGAGGCCAAGTTTTGGGTCCTTGGCCATCGCCTCCCAATTGCCGAAGCCGTACAAGTAGGCACCCACCAGGAGCATCGAATCATCCTGGGGCCCCCATCGACCTGACCAGTTGAGAGTTGGCCGGATGTTGTCTATGGGAATGACCCACTTGTAGGGATCATCGAGCTCTGAAAGAATGTTGTAAAGGATGCGGAGGTCGCGGTGTCGAGAGAGCACGGTCTCCGCGTTGATGTTACCTACACCTCGGCAGGTCACAAGGACGGCTTTACTCTTTTGCGCATTCGTCAGGGTTTCTCCCGATGCCACCCGCAGTCGCTTCTGCTCTTCACTGTCCTTGACGGCTTGTGAACATATCTCAATAATGTCGTCCGAGACGTCCAGAATCATGCCCTTGTTCTTGTCCTGCAGTTTTGCCTCAGCAACCTAATGAATAGCCAGTCGTCAGCGAGGAGCCTCGATGAGAGAGATCGAAACATACAATAACATCATATCGCTGCCTAATGTCACCCCACCGCTGCAAACTCCTGATGAGGACACGAACGTCCCGCTCCTTCAGTTCCATCGCCTTCTGACTTGCCGTCTTTCTTTGAGGACCAGGAGCCTTGGGCTTCTTCGCCGCTGCAGGTGCTGGGTTTTCGGCATCCATCCCCTCGTATGACACTTGCGTATGGTTCCGTTTACGTGACTCCTGCGCCATCGTCTCCTCATGCCGGCGATCCTCCTCATCAGCCTCGAAACGCTGACGCTCGTCAAGGGGGATGATATCCTCCCAGTTCATGTCATTCTTGACGTCGCTGACAGCAGCGAACTGCGCAAGGAAGTTCTCGCCACCGAGAGAAGCGCCAACACCCTCGCCTGTCTGGGTTGTCTCGTGATCCTCTGCTCTGCTCAAGATGTCGTCCAGATCCATCTCGTCAAGCTTCTTGCTCTGTGTAGAATCATCCTTATCGAACCTATTTGTTCAGGTCAGGATATGCAACAGAACGAGCAAAGACCGGAACGCACATTTTCTGAGCACCATACTTTAAAACTGCCGTTAACTCGTCTTTACTGAGGTTATCGGGCTTTTGAGCATCTTTCGAAGCAGATGGCTTGGAGCTAAGATGGGCTTGCGACGTGTCCATCTGGTTGATAACTGGAAAGCAGGCCCATCAACACATGAAAAAGGGTGCCGATAGATAACAGAGACAACTTACTGGCATACTCCAACACCATCTTCTTCTTTGCTCTCTCTAAAACGTCCTCCTCCATCGTGTCTTTGCTGACAAAACGGTACACATTGACATGCGACTTCTGTCCAATCCGGTGGGCACGAGCCATCGCCTGGAGATCATTCTGAGGATTCCAGTCGCTCTGTATGATATAGGATCAAAACAAAGGGTCATCCATCATCAGCAGGCAGGTCAACAGCGCAGAGACACCCAAAAGCACATACATCAAAGATGATCACGGTGTCGGCCGTTTCTAGATTGATCCCGAGCCCGCCTGCACGCGTAGATAGCAGGAACGCAAAGTCCTGTGATCCTGGCGCATTGAAGTGCGCAATAGACTTCTTGCGAGACTCGGACGCAACCATGCCGTCTAGGCGCTGATGGGCGTATCCCCGCAGCTGCATGTAGTCGCTGAGGATGTCGAGCATGCGCACCATCTGGCTGAAGATCAGAACACGATGGCCATCCTGTTTCAGCCGCGCCAGGAGCTTATCGAGGAGGACCATCTTGCCGCTATTCATGACAAGACCCTTGAGCGTCTCCTCGCGAGTGTCGGTCTGCATCTCGGCGCCGTCGAAGAGATAGGGGTGATTGGCGGCCTTCTTGAGCTCCATTGCTGTATGATAGGGGTTAACCAGCACCCAAAACGAACGCGGAAAAGCTCTTACCGATGTTGAGGAGGCTGATGTTGCTGTTACCATTCGCGCTCTTCACGAGAGCGGCGAAGTTCTAGATTTCCAGGTGAGTCGATGTCGATGACAGACGCAGCTGAAATTCAGACCTTGGTTAGGATGTTCTTGTAGAAGTGAGTTTGCATGGCGCTCATTTCCACGCGCAAGATGCGCTCGCTCTTCGTCGGTAGCGATGTTAAGACATCCTTCTTCAACCGCCGGAGCATCAACGACTCCAACTGCTCATGCAACTGCTTGATCTTCGACTCATGATCAGCGTCAGTAAGGTCGAACTCGTTTGACAAGGCGACTACAGTTTCGAGTTCAGTAGGGCGGAGGCTAACAAGAATGCCATCAACTTACATTTCTCGGGCATGAGGAAGTGCATCAAAGACAACAACTCTGCATACCCGTCAATATCGTCAAATAGTTGGACGAACGCAACACATACCCTTCACGTTGTTCTGGAGAGGGGTTCCAGTAATGAGGAGCTTGGAAGCAGCATGGAAAGATCGAAGAGCTTCATACAACTGACTCTCGGAGTTCTTCAGGCGATGGGCCTGGAATAACCTATCAGCTCTAGAGCACGTAAAGTGAGGTAAAGAAAACCACCGCACCTCATCAACAGCCAAAGCCTGCCACTTGATGTCGCCCAGCTCTTTGGCGTCTCTCAATGTGAGCTCATACGTCGTCAGCAAGACATTCATCTTGAGCTTCTTGTTGGACTGTCCAAACTCATATGTCCGGATGACCTCTCGGGCAGAGGCCGTGCCGATGTAAGTAATGACGTTGATATCTGGTGCCCATGTTGCAAACTGGCTCTGCCAGGCGGTGATGGTCGATAGAGGGACGATGACGAGGAAGGGGCCGTATTGGTGCATTTGATGGAAGAGATAGGAAATGAAGGCTACCGTTTGCACGGTCTGTTGTTGGGAATATAAGATGTTGTTCAGTGTCGACAAAAGTGCGCATATACTCACCTTTCCAAGACCCATCTCGTCCGCTAAGATCCCATTCATGCCATTCCCCCACAGGAAGGCTAGCCAATTGAGACCAGTCAGCTGGAAGTCCTTGAGCTCGCCTCCCGTTGCCGATACGTAGTCCGGATCCTTCAACAACCTCTCGAACTTTGGCCGACCACCTTTGGGATAAGATGCGCTCTTGTACGGAAATTTGGCCTCCGCTTCCCGCTTCCTGTAAGCCGCGATCTGTTCCTTCGCGATTGGATTGACGTCCTTCTGCAGCTCCCAAGTGCAGTGGTCGTAGTTGAGGTTTTGCCATTTGCAGAAGTACTCGATATCGCCATCGCGGGACTCGCGATGGGATACGATGCGCTCGACGTTGCGGAAGGTCTCGAGCTCCTCCTTTTCGCGCTCCTTGTCGAGATGAAGTGCCTCGCGCTCCTCTGCCGAGATGCCAGGTGCTGCGACCCGGGACTTCCAGATCTTATAAGCTTTGATGTAATTGTCGACCCGCTTGAGGCCCTTGAAGCGTTTGAGGAACTCGTAGGTCTCGTCTGTGTTGTGAAGGTGGGAAAAGTTCTTCCACTTGATGTGGAATCGCTAGAAGGGTGTTTGAAATGAAAGCGTGATGGGAAGGTAAACACGGACTGACCACATTCTCAAACCAAAGGTCTTCTGGATCATCCTCTCTACCCTCCTCACGACTGTGACCGAGGACAGCTTCAATCTCGTCTTCCTCTTGATACTGGACATTTGGGTCTACATAATAACCAGCACTGTCTTCTGTCTGCTCCTCGAACTTTTCGAAGTCCTGGACGTCATCGATGTAGTTGGGGACCTTGGTGCCTCTGCTGGATACGCGGACCTCGTCAGAGGCGGGACGGGGTTTCTTCTTCTTCTTGTGGGCACGGGACCCGTACTCGGAGTCCGAATCCGAAGAGTCAGCGTGCCGGACGGGGGCTGGGAAGGAAGATGTTCGGGAGTTGTGATGGATGTGGGCAGCGATAGGCATACCTTTAGGCCTGATAGCGGGTGTGGTGGAAGAGCGGTGCTGTTTCTTCTTTTTCGCGGGCCTCTTCTTCTGGCCATACTCCTCGTCGGCGTATGCGCCATCGTCGTCATCGTCGGGATCATCGTCGCCGTCGTCTCGGTCCTCGTAGCCCTAGGAGAGTATCAGCAGGGATGAAAGGGGTGGGAGGGTCAAAGGGGACAGACTGAGTCCTCAGCATCCTGGCGGGGCGGGAAGAGGAGTGAGCGGCGAGCGGGATGTGAGAGACAGCGACGGACGCACCGAGTCGCGAGCCACGGGATGGGTGGCGTGGTTCGAGTGGGAGTGGGGGATGTCGTGCTGGGAGTCGTCATCGACGGACTCGCCGTCGGCGTCTATGTCGTGGCGGGCGTGGTCGTCGGAGTCGACGTCCATGTTGTCGTCGGAGTCAT